TGGCTGGTCAGGCTCCAGTTTCAGGCGGCACACACCGCTGCCATGTGCACTGCACCCCTTTTTTTGGCACTTTTTTTTTTGGTATCTAAATTTGCTTGCACACTGCAATTGTGCAGCACAGCAAACAGATTAACATGTGCCATTTGCTTTTTGTGATGCCTCAGAAGGCTTTGAGGTACCACAAATTGCATATTCCCATTTGTGGGGATGCAGCCCCTGGGAGCAAGGGCCTCAACTAGATGCAGGGCCCCTTCTTTAACAGGTTAGTGGTTACCTTACTTGGCCACCCACCTTCCAACTTGTTCTTTCCTCCTGGCCTCACATATCCAGGAAGCCAGCATCTAAAAGAGTGCTAGAAGAGGGCCTAGGTAATGGTTGACCTGTGGGCCTGGTGGTTACAGTATTATGCCATGCATTCAAAGAGACCAAATTCAAACCCTCTCTGGTTGATGGAGGCTGAAACCCTAAGTAATCTGGCTTCCCTACCCGCTCAACTAATGTGGGGGAAAGATGGGAGATCTCACTAATCATGGACTTCGATCAATTATACTTTGGGGCAACTAAGGCTGCTATGCTTGCACAATGGCTGATATACATCCCTGGTTATGTATGCAGCCAACTGGCATGCCCAGCCTGCACATGTATGTAGTTGTCTGTGCACAGGGTTACACATCCAGGAACAGAATTCCTACTTGCACATAAGTGCTGAAGGCATTGTGTATACACTGTTAAAAGCAACCCCTTAGATGTCCAGGGAAGAAATAAAATGTTAGCCACAGTGATTAAAAAATTCTGCCTGAGACTGAGATGTTATTGTGGTACATTGTGTGGAAACACCTAGTGAGAGACAGTCTGTACCCTGAGAAGTTTATAAATTATGTTACAAAAAAAATACAAAAAAAATGGAGTCAGGGAAGTAGAGAGGAAATGGCCCAACAAGTTAAGAGCAGCGTGGGACTAAAAGCTGGATCTCCTGAATACCAGTTCATTGGTCTGTCCAGTGAAACTACAGTGAGTACAGGAGGCATAATGGCCCAGAATGAGACATCAGCTATCTCCTATTCCTGCTTCTGCTAATGAAAATGCTTATGTCCAAATAGAAAAATGATGGTGAATCCTGAAACCTTTTTTTTGAAAATTCATTAAATCAATTTATTGCTGAGCATCCCAAAACTGAATCTCTTGTATTCTTCTGTTAGCTAATGGGATTCCATAGACACTTGCTTCAGCCACCAAAGGTGCAGTCCTGGTCCTCTTGTTGTCTGTGTGAGCTTTTGCCACTTACTTCATTAGATCCTGGATTTAACCCCAGATTGTTTCTAGATGAAGAGTTTTCTAGATTTCTTGAGTTCTCATGATGGGTTTGGAATAAATTTCCTTTGGAGTACCTTAATATTTAAACAAAATATTTTTGTTCTTTTCAATGAAGTTGTTTTGTATTATTTGAAATATATAACAGCGTGTTTTAAAATGTTTTGCAGATATGTGAAGCTGGAAATCATTTTATCAATGTAGCTTTAGCTCATCAAAATCACTCAGGTCTGTCCTTTTGTTTTCCTCACTGCCTGATTCAAACAGAATTGCATGTGACCTATCAATCTTTTCTTATATATAATAATGTATGTGCCTGTGACCAGAAAATAAAGAAAGATGAATGAGGTACCATGTTATCATTACAGGATCTTCTAATTAAATGTGGTGACAAAGAAATACTAGAAACACTGTTGCTTGCTGTTTCAAAGCATGTAGAAACTTTGTCTTAATTATAAAGGAACAACATTCAGGTATAGATTCAAGTGTTTTAAAATATTCCTTCAATTGACAATGAAAGATTTAGTTTTAATGTTGTTTTAACAAGTACTAAAATAATTTGCATGTATATCTGTGCATGTGTTGTTAAAGCGTTCTCCAAACCTCTTTCATAAGAACATTTTACCTGGGAATAGGACTAATAGCTGCACCATTTTTCTAGAAAGTAAAATCTATTCCTTCATCATCATATTTTCAATTGTAGGTTCCTGTTCCAGAAAACATTTATGTACATACTGAAATCAGTCTCTACTCAAGAAAGCACTTTGTCATGTGCTTAAGATTAAACAGGTACTTAAGTACTTTCCTGAACGGGGAACATGCTGTGCAGTAGAAGCAACCAACAAGCTTATTTATTTACAGACACAGCATCATTTATAAATATCATCACAGTGTTGACAGAGTTATTACCATTGTGAGAGCCTGCTGGGTTGCATTTTAGAACTAGCAAAATTATTAATATAGAACAAAAATATCAGGTTCTGCAATATGACATTTCTTCTTATTATTTTAAGTATCACCATAAGACACTTCCTTTTTGAATATTGACTATTTTTCTGGAAAATTCTGCCTGCATTTATATGCTAGGGGAATTGTTCTTTTAATAAAGCTAGGACTTTCAAATGGGGGCTAAGTTACTAGTCATTCAGTTTCTATTGATTTTCCAAAGCTCTCCCAAACACTGTTCTTCTTGGAAGGCGATCAATGCATACCTGGCAGCCCTGTTCAGCTTCATAATACCAATATTTGCAATGTGCCAGTTGTGGGGTTATATTCAATAGTAATTACAGGTATTAGTCCTGCTGGTTCTTCCAAGGAAGAGAGAAGTCCAATGTTGGGAACATTCCTCTGTGTATGATTGAAATGAATATGTGAAACTCATGCATCTCTGTGCCTTAGGACTTGGGAGATGTTACACTTAAGGTGTGATTAACCAGTTAATGGAATCTTAAATAGTAACCTGGCCACATGTTAAGGTGAGTAATGGCATGATAAAATGGAAACAAGCCACAAAATTCTTCCACAAAATGTGTAACAGTTTTATGGCTGTTTTCCATCATGCCTTAAACTGAACTGATGGCAGGGTAGGCCCGCCAGGCAGCCTGATGCCAGCTGCCTGACAGAGCTTGGTTGACAACACCCTCTGTGCACACAGGCTGACAGCCATGCAGTGCATGTAGATGTATCCCACTGTTTTCTGGGTGCTGAGTCAGGGGAGCTCATCAGCTGGGTCTTGACACATCCCTGCCACAGGGAACCTAGGATGGGGAGAAGTTTCCTGATCCCCAGGTCCCCATGTGCCAGACCTTTAAAAATTGTAGCTGCAGTGCAGCTGCTCATATGATTTTCTGACATGCCCAGCTCATGGGGATCAGGTGAAGCTTTCCAACAACCCAGGGCTCTGGGAGCCAGTTGGAGACTCCAGCATGGTCCCTGGGCCAAGACCAACAATCGGTTGATTTGCCTGGGGATACTACTGAAGTCTTGAACTAACTCTATAGGGGTTCCAAGGTTGAGATTGACAATCAGCTGATTGTCAGTCCCAGGCCTATGTCTTTGGCCTTCAACTTGCGTGTGCAGGGGGAGCCTAGAATCCTGATCCTGAATTTGTACTAGCAAGGAGCAATAGCCTGATTTGGATCTGATGCCTAATCCCAAAACTGTGCCTCCTGCCATACATAGGAGGTATGGCAAGAGGTGCAATTGTTGGGATTGGGGAACAGATCTCATTGCACCATTAAGTGAATGGGTGTTACGGGCCTTGCAGGTGCTTTTTACTTGAGAATGTGAGTCTGTTGGAACCCTTGTTAGAGAGCTATAACTCTTAAGTTTAAGTTGTAGAGTTCAATGCTATCGACCCCAGAGTAGAGCCAGGCAGAAAGTTTCTTTTTCCACCCCACAAACTGTTTTCTAGTCTGCACTAGGACAAAAACAAGATCTTTAAAAAAAATAAATAAAAGGATAAAGACAATCCTGCCATTAGAACCAGGCAGCTAGACTGTGGAAGGTAGAGGTTCACAACAGAGCTTCAAGTCTGGTCTGAAACAGGAAATGCAAGGTCTTACTCCTGTGTCTTCCATATAACACTCTAACACGAAAGCTACCAACTATCCTGGGTTGGACTGGTTCTGAGTCTCTGACCAGAACTTCAGTCTTGGTCATGAGAAGCCTTTTCTTTCAAAACTAGCATGTTTCCAAGGAATTTTTTGGTCATTATGGGGGTGTCCAGATGAGTGCACATGTGCTTGTCCTAGGGAAGGACCCGTGCACACATGCTCTGTTACACAGCAAGTTTCAGCAGTGGTATCTGGCAACAGGGAGCCTGGCTGGCAGCTGGAATGTGGCTCTGGCTGTCCAGGCTCTGGTTTCAGGTCTGAGGGCTCTGGATCTCCTGGTGTCAACCCCCACTTCCCTTGTCCCCCCCCCCCAATGCTGCATATTAGCAGTGCAAGGAATGCCTACACGTGTGGTGTATGCAGTGTGTTGCTATGCAGATGGGTTCACAATACTGCATACTACACGTGAGTGCTCATCTGGATGAGCTCTCTAAGTCTGTATTTTGTGAAAATAAAAGTTTTTTCAGAAAAAATTGTGATCAGCCAGCTGTACTCTGGAGGTGTATTGTGGCTCAGTTAAAATTGTGAATGCCATCACAATAAGGCTGTGTTATCCTATGATGTCTTCCATAATAAAATTGTTTTGAGCGGCTTTTTTTTTCTTTTTTTTTCCAATAGGAAATAAATACTATTTTCCAAGCCCAACCTACAACCCTTTCACGTGGCTGTTTGCATTGGTTTCCTGTCCCAACTACACATATGAGGTATGCAACTAACTTCTACATGAAGGTAAAGGATGGATTGGTCACGTCCCAAGCTAGGATGCCATGTTTGAAACCTCACTCATAGCAAGCTCTTCATATGTTAAGTGTACTCTGGACACTTTAGCTTGTTTCTTATTACACAATCTTCTCCATAAATTCTCAAGCACCTCTGCTTCAGTGCCTTGCCTTCATGGCATGCTGCAACTTACCCATCCGTCATACTGAGCTACTCATCCCTTCTCTCCCATTCAGACTTTTCCCAGTGATTGTCATATACACAATGCTCTACCTTGCAGATGATTTTTTCAACCCCACCTGAAGTACTGAAGAGCTACTTTTTAGGCAGCTACCCATTCCATTACAACTCCACTTCAGTGCCATTACACTCTAGCCCTGTTACAGTTGGAGATATTAGGAGCTGAGCACTTTTGAAAACCCTTTTCTTTATTCCCTCATAGCATTCATTTAACACTTCTTTCTTTGTAACAGATTGGGTCTTGGATTAGCTTCACAGTGATGACACAAACACTGCCAGGTAAGTTTAAAACAGTCATGGAAGTGAGTTAGATATGAACATTACTTGTGCAGGTGAATTTTATAAAATCTGTTGTTTCCCCAAATAATAGTATATGGTTTATCATTCCTTTTAAATCACTTGGAAGTTAGACTCATAAATCTTTTTGATCTGCCTATCTGCATCTCAGACACCTAAATTACTCAGTCATGGCTTGAACACAATGCACATTTAAGTACAACGGGGAATTTTGAATCATTTATATGGCCACAGTATCAGGCACTTAACACAAGAATGCTAGATCCCAACCATCCTTCCCAGAATGGAGCATGTTAGTCCTGTTCATGAGGTTCTTGCTATATTTCATTGGTGAGAGCATACCTAACTTTAAAAATATGAGTATTTCCAGTGAGGTCCATGGGTTGCATTTTATTTTTTTTCTGAGCTCCTAAGCTGTTATTCTTTTGTTACTTGCATATCCATAAGATTTCTATTCCTGCATGTGTACCCCTGCATATGTAAATGACTAAAAATGCACAGTAGCAGTCACACCCCATACATGTGCTCTATGTATCTGGTATTCTTTTGTCTTGGTAGCTCACTGGATAGGACTTCCTCAGTGCCAGTCTACCAATGACCTTCCCACCTGTTTCTGGGCCAACCACCTTATCTGCCACACCTTGATGATATATAATTATGTTATTAATTAGGCGGGAGGCTGCCCATTTCTTGCCCCAATGCCAGGGGCTGCTATCTGAGGCTCCATTCCTCTGCTACTTTGCAGCCCAAGCCTCACAGATGACATCCATAGTTCTTAACCACACTGGGCCCTATAATCCTCCCCTATACTGACCCTAACCAGATCCCTGCAATCTGGCAGCCTACTCCACCTTCATTTGGGGCTGCATAGCTCCCTGAACTCTTTCTGCTTTCAGGTGTGGCCCCCACCCCGGGACCTTTGGCCACATAGGCCATGGCCTCACCTTGAAAATCAGTTGGAAACCCCCGGCCCTCAACTCTGGGCATCCCTCACAGTGGGCCCCTGGCCCTTTTGACTGTTCTGGTCCTGGCCACAGCATAGCCCACTCTCTAACCTGGGTCCACCTTCTTGGCCTATCATGGGGTAACCCACCTGGTTGTGGGAACTAGGGTTATTAAGGCCCTGACTTGCTTTTCACCGGGGTGGTAACTGGCCTAGCAATTCCTGGGGGCTCCCACACCACTGAGAGCCCCACCAGGACACCCATTCCCAGCAGGGTGCAGTTTTAGGTCATGCCCAGGACCAGGAACCTCCAAACCATCCTCTTAAGCTCTTGCCCTTCCAGGATGTTGCATTCAGCCTTGCAGCTAAGTGATCTTTCTGCCAGCAGTGAACTTCTCTATTTATATGGGCAGCCAGATATCTAAAATGGCCACCACAATCAAGCACCTGCTGGGTGCTTGGCTCAGCCCTTAAAGTGACAGACACCAACAGTGCCCTGCCACACTCACAAACATGATACTGAAGGCCATGGGTTCTAGACCATCCCTCTGGCCATGGTGGATTTGAACACCCCCTCTCCCTTTTTTTGGCTTCCTAGCCTAGTACTCTAACCTACACACCACACCATAGGTTAGGCATTGGTAATGACCTTTTTCAGAATTCCTTTTGAAGTTAAGCCACTAAGGAGTCCCTGGGGAAAAAAAATGGGTGGAAGGTGGAAGCTTTTACCTCACTAGAGCAACAGTTTCAGCAAGAACCCAGTGCTGCCTCCCTTCAAAGTTAGTACTGTCTTCATGAAGGCACACACGTTCTGTTCCATACCTCCTGGCTTCACATAATGCCTCCATTTCTCCCTCTTGTAGCTGTCTAGTCAAGTGGCTGGAGGTTGGAGCTCTCCTGGTGGCCACAGGGGCAAGTGGCGGGGCTGCAGGATCTTGTGAATAATTTTAGTGACAAATCTCTGCATGTGTAGACACCTGCCAAAAATCACTTAGGGCATTTATACACATACTTTTTTTATCCCACAACACTCCAGAGAACTTCCGCTTGAGAGCAGACTCAATTAATCGAGTCTGCTTTGCAAGCGAGCTGAGGCAAACTGTGCTGTGTCACGTGCAGTTGTATAAGCAGCAGAATGCATGTTAGCTCACAGAAAATGGTGGCAGTGCCCTTTTGAACTAAAGCACCTCCAATATGTTTTAGTTCAAAAGCACGCCACCACCATTTTCTCAGTTATGACATACATTTTGCTGCTTATACAACTGCATGCATCGCAGCGCCAGACGCTTTTCAAAGTGCAGTGCGGCACTTACATGTGTAAGAAAGCCGTTAATGTGCATTAAAGGGCTACACGTGTAGCCATGCACTGCATCTCTGATTAAAGTGCCTATAAGGGAAGGATTTAAGATTTGCACCTGCCTTTTTTGTCTTCCTTTCGGCTAACCCTAGGCAGATTCCTATCCAGCAAACTTGATACTGTGGAGTCCATTTTAAGAAGCCCAACTCTCCCCTTGTATTGTAAACGGAGTCTAGAAACAAGCAGTGTTCTGGATTCTATTCTGATGGGCAGGCAATTGCAAGTTAAGCATTGCAATATGTACAATACACATTGCATGTGCACACACAAGCAACACAATTTGTTGTTTTTTTTTCCTTTGTAGTTGGTGTTTTTGCTTTCCTGATGGTCATCCAGATGTCTTTGTGGGCCCAGAAAAAACACAAGATGTACCTGAAGAAATGTAATACCTATACATACAGGAAAGCAGCCATGATTCCATTCATCCTCTAAGCTCTTTATGCATCAGAAGCCTATACGCACTGTTTGATATCTGACTCTGAGAGTAAATGAGCCATTTCCTTTAGTAAAGAGGTGTAAGGCAAGAATGATTGGGTATTTTCTTCAGATAATTAACAGATGCAAATGGGGTGCTCTTTATTAAGTGAAAAGAATATGGCTTTGAATCCTTGCTTTGTGTCAGAAGATATGATTTAATTAGATTTTGTGTAATGGAGCTCATTAGGAAGAGAATAGAAAATCCTTCTTGTTAATAGTGGGCCAAATCTTCAACTAGTTTAATTGGGCTTAGCTCTATTTAAAATCAGTGGAACACTGCTGATCTATACTAGATAAGAATCTGTTTATTTTAGGTTCGTTGTCAAACATTGACCAGAGTTTCAGTGTTGCATTGTTGATTCACAGCTTTTATTCTGTTAAACACTGGGCAGAAGTAGTGAGAGTTGTATAAATCCCTCTAAAAAGTATCATGGAGGAGTCTGGACTTATACAGCATTAATACAGTTAGAATGGCTTCACATTTTTCTTTGACTGAATCTATTACTGACAGAAAGTTGTGCAGTTCAAATGGGTTTAAATTGAGCAATATAGAGAAATCTGACTTTTTTCTAGGATGCAGCCTACTAATTCAGGAAGGGAAACGGTTTCTATGAGATCTCAGTTTTGTTTCTTGCTTTGCTAATGATTTGCCATGGGGACTTGGAAAAGTACCTTAACTCAGATTGTAGACATCTCTCATGGAGTTAGGATGATACCAATTATATTTTGATATAGATTTGAAATGTAGATCTGATTCCAAGATGATTACTCTGTTCTTACTTTGCTGTTCTTTCTAAAAGAAAAGTACTGGTCTTCTTCAAATAGCTGAAAACTCTATATAACATGATTTGCAAATTGGCTGCATCATTTGCACAAATAAATATATTTCTTAGCAGCAAGATTTGCTTGGATTGTAGTACCATTTGACAACAAAAAGGGTTAGGGTTGCTTCCACAAGCATTAGCACTCTAAACTCCACTTCTCCTTCAAGTACTTGTCTGCATGAATGTTCTGTGGTGGTTGCAGATGTGCCACAGGCATTTGAGCTTGGAGACACTTTCAGCCCCTATGGCACATGAACACTACCTTTTCTCCACATCTTCAATATGGACACAAACACTTCCTGTTCTTCAGTTCCTCTCATTTCCCTTGGCTTAAGATGGATGTTCTACTGTTTGTTTCAGAATAGGCATTAGCCTAGCACCATCTTTTCAAAATCATTATTTTTAACCATTTTTGGTCTCTGACTATTTTAATTTTTTTTTCGGGCATTGGTGTAAGATCACCCAATACAAGATTTTTCCCAGACACAATCTCCTTTCAGGCTTGCTCCAAGTATTTGCCCAAGGTCATCATAGAATTTCACTTTTGTAACCAAAGCTGCTCGCTGATTTTTTCTCTCCAAATTTCACATTCTCAGAACCTCTGTAGATATACTTGATGTGAGGTTAGCTTTGTTCTTTCATCTGAACAGGACTAAGTATTCCTGTAATTTCTATTTTTCTTTCTTTCCATAGCAAAAAGTTAGAGGCACAACAGTTTCCACTGAGGCTGCATCCAGAGAAGTCTAGCCATGTGGTATGTGGCGCCACAGACATGACTGCAGGTGCCACATACTGCACATTCAGCTGTTCTCTGCACTGCAAGGGAGCAGCATGGGTGTGTGACCCCTGGATATCCAGGGGTTAAAATAACCCATGCAAAAAAAGAGGGAGAGTGGTGCATGCCTCTCAAAACTATAGCCTAGAGGGCTGGAGCCACACTCCAGCTTCCAGTCAAGCTCTGAGTGGCAGGATCGCCACTGCTACTTCTTTGGGAGGCCCCTAGAACTCCAGGTAAGACTGCTGGGGCCAGCCCAGTGTTGGCCCCAGCCTCCCCCTCCATCCCAGGTAACCTACCACATGCCAGAACATGTGTGGCATAGGCATTTTCCAGGGACAACTAGCAGCGGCACAAGGTGTCACCCCAGACAACCAAACATCCACGCTCATGCGGATGAGACCCCAGAGATTGCCTAACCAGCTCTTAGACTGTCAAGTTATGCTAAATGTTTGCTAAGGTGGACCTGCTGATATTGATCAGAGCTCATTCCACCATAGCTCAACTGGCTTCTCTTGGGAACATCTCTATTCCAAACATCAGCAAAATGCACCCCCCGGAGTTTAATGCACACCTTCATCACCACTGCAGGAGAACTGTCTAACGTCAGAACAGCTGTAGGCCACACCACCCCATCATTTTCATCATACAAGGCACAACAGCCCATCATTTCAATCCTACAGGCCACTCTGCCACATAGCTGTCTCCTCTGCTGGCTACACCTCTTTACCCATGGCATGGGGGAGTAAGAATATAAAAGCTAAAGGAAGGAAGGGAAGCCCAGAGATTCTGACAGCCTGAGGAAAGAAGCCATGACCAGGTAATGGAGGGGGTTGGTGACAGCTGGAAGAAGCAATGTTTGAAACT